CAGTCATGTAATCCATCATGGGAACCACCACTCACAACTGGAGTCCAGCCAAGTTGACACATCTTCAACTGTCACAGAAACTATATTCCAAAGTAGATGTGAACCATTTACAGTTACATATTATCTGCCGCTTATTAACTTATACCATTTTCATCAATCCTAACCTGCATTGATTTTAAGATTTATTATTTTAATATATGAACCACAAGCAATAAAAATGATGCTAATTTAACGTACTACACAAGAACATTGTTTCACATCCTACTTTGGTGAGTAGCGACTGAGATCTTAAAAGCTTGCAAGCAGCCATCTAGATGCAATGATGGATCTCTCCTTGTCCAGAGCAAAAAAGAATGAAGAAAACCAAAGACACGAGGAAACAATTAGTCCTTGCGACTGGTACACCATGTGAGTCTCAGCCTATAGGACTATGAGACCAGAATAACTAGATGGTGCCCAGCTACCACCGTCAACCACTTGCAAGGGGGGTCTATGTAGGAGATCCTGGATAAAATGGGAGAACAATGTGGAATAAAACTAAAAATCATTTAAAAAAAAAATGAAAGTGACCAGGTTTGCTGATCTGAGAGAGCCTGATGGAACCACTGAGACTATGGCCCCTAGCTTTCCTTCAGGTCTGGAATTGAACCCACTCCTGTGGCTTCCAGCCAAAAAAAACAAAGGCATATGAGCTGAACATTTACGTTAGGTAGATACACTCCTTAGAGAGATCAATCATGGGAGAATTGAAGGGCTATATATGCACAGGGAGACAGCTCAGGGGGCAGGAGTAAATGGGAGGGAAGGACACAGGGAAGAGGTAACTATAGGGAGGAAGTGGGAGGGAAATTTGCATTGTGGGAAATTGCAGTCAATGTCATGAGACAAAGTGTATGTGAGCTGCTGTATGGAAAATGAATTTTCTCTGTAAACTTTCACCCAAATTACAATAAAATTTGATTTTTAAAAATGCTGCTAATTAAACTACCACATATTACTGATTATAAGAATGTCTCAATTTCAGGATCATTTAAATATGAAGAAAACATCTTAGAATCAAT